TACCGTGTCTGTTTTTCAAATCACAGCCTCTTATTTTAATGTGATTTTTCTTTATACAGTCTGTCAGTGTCTCTTTCAATGCCTGTAGGATTTATGATTTCTTGAAGAAACAAACCATTCCCCCTTCCCCTTCAGAAGGAGAAGTGATCTATGACATTTCATTCTGGCTCCACACACCAAAGCGTTGCAATCCTGGGGAGGAGGCAGAGGAGGGAAAAATTTAAACATTCAGTTAGTCTGTTTCCTGTTGTCTTTTTCACTTACAGTTGGCAGTTTCTGGTAATGGGTAGCTGTTATTGGGGTGTTAGGTAGGTGCTCGTCTGCCTGCAGTTCCAGTTTTGAAGCCAGCGTCGTACCTGACACTCCTGTGGTCGTCGGTGGGCTCTCTGCTCAAAAGGAAACGTCTGCAGGATTTGGTCCTGCTGTCTCTCTGCTCTCTGACCATGTCCTAAGCAGCACAATCCACGGGCAAGCACAGTGAAAGCCTGTGTGGAAGTCTCCAGATGGGGAAAGCACTTCAGTACACAGTGATAAGGCTCCTTTGAGTTGCAATTTTGCATGTGTTCCAGTTCCTCATGTAGGGCCTTTAGTCACTTTGAGGCTAAGCCTTCAAAGCTGTCTTGAGCAGCCATCTTCCATTACTGCTCCTTGACTCTTAACTGCTTGTGAGCTCCAGATGAGACTCTGTGGAAGGTATCCTGGAAAATTCTTTTGTCAGAAACTTGAGTTATTAAACCTGGGTCTGTATTTGCACCTGAAATTTCTGGGGAATGTATCTAAAACTTGAAAAAACATTGCAAACCTTTGGCCTTTGGGATGGGAAAAATCTCCTAAAAAACTTAGAGGCTTTGGGCCCAAATGCTCTGTAAGTCAAGCCTTTGAGCATAATATAAAATGCCTATTCAAACAATTATGTTCAGTAAAAGCATTTTGTGTTAATAATAGGCTTTTGACCACAGTTGTATTGCTGTTATGGGATGCACGACTTGCATAACTTAGTCTGCCTTCATTTTAAATACACACATTTGGGGATGTTTGTTCGAGTTGGAGTTGTATGAGGGGTGGCCACAAATGGATTTCATTCAGGAACCTTCCCAAGTGCCACGTTTGAGAGGAGCACCGTGGCTTTGTGGCTTGTCAGGGTCCTGACTGCTATGTCTGTGCTTGGGAGTCGGGGGATGCCGGAGGGGGCTCAGGTCTTGTAAGTGGTCTCCCTGACTCAGTTGCTGCAGAACAGTTGATGTTGGCTGTGACCTGCTGGTTTTCAGATTCAGCTGCTAACGTGCAACCGTGCTCCCACGCTGGTTGAGCTAACTGTGAGCTGTGAGATTACACAATCCTTTGCTTGGATTGGAGTTAAAGCCTCTGGTTGAAGAGGGGCTTCTTTTGTTGGAACTGGTCTCATGTTTTTCATAAAGCTGTCTTTGCAGTAAGTGATAGAGCAATTTATGGTCACAGCCTTGTGTCTCTGTCAGTTAAGGCGAAGCATAGCTGAGTGATGTCCTTTTTGGACAGAAACTGTGAATGTGAAGGGTAGGTTTGTATCTCTTATTTGGGGAATTAGAGGGTAGTGGGAAAATTCCACTTGATTTTAGTGTCCCTGTCACTAAAGCTCTTGCTCCCAATCTCTGTTTTTGTAGGTGAGGATCGCATTGATGTCCTGTCTGAAATCTGGGATCACTATTTTACAGAGACTCTTCCTACACTCCAGGCAATATTCTACCCAGTCCAGGTAATCTTAATTATAATTCAGTCTTCAGTCAGGTGAGGCAATGTAACTGCAATGTCTGCTAACGGCACATGGAAACTTCTCTTCTGTTCCAGCAGCACTGTTTGGCCAGTAGCTAAACAGGTCTCAAACCTTTAAGCTAAATCTGGGAGGAAATATAGTTTGCCCAAGTCAGCATTAACTGTGTAAGAAGGACTGCTAAAGTCTACTGGGCAAGCACAGTGTTTTGGGCTGAATTTATTCCCATCTGTCTACCCTCTGTCTGTGCTTAGCTAAGCTTGAACACTGAAACTATTGGACTATACCTCGTCTAGACTGAAGCTCTGGGCCATTTGTATTTATAGTTCTTCCATTTTTAAATACCTGGGACTCTGTTGGTGCAGATGACAACACTGACAACTTGTCTTCAGAGGGACAAATCTCAAGATCAGGAGCAAATGTGTTTAACTCGCCCTAACTACTTTTGGAGGGCTTATGTCCCAGTTGTGCCTTTGGAAAGTCCTCTGTTGGGTTTTTTGAAGCTTTAATAAGGAGGCAAGTAAATCTGTGGGTAGAGGATGAATTAACAACTTTATGTTAAGTCCTGTTTACACTGGGTATTTTGAAAGCTGAGTATCCTATCAGAAGTGTTGAGTTGTATCATTTTTTAATGTAGTTTTAGTCAGGGTTTCCATACGAGCAGTCTAATTACTTCCCCAGCCTATTTTGATATTCTCTTCCATCAGAGGAAAAGAAAAATGTACCTCATGAGGAGACTGACGGTTGTGGACATGCTATCCTTCTCCTCTTGACTTTTGCCTCTTCCACAAGACGTGGCTTTCCAGAGCCTTTTAAAATTATTTTTCCCTTGTATTGTTTGAAAGGCAGCAGGTAAAGCTCAAAGGTTGAGCTTTTCCTCTAATCCTTTTCCATTTTCCTCTAATCCTATTAAAGTTGGCATTTCCTAAAAGAGGAAGGACTTCTGTAAAGACAGACACTAACCTTTCTACTGTGTTTATTTTTATTCTTTCCTTGCTGCAGATGCTTAAAGGTAGGTGTTTGGCAGGTAAAACTGTGCAATCATAATACCCTCCCTTTCTCTCCTTTTGCAACTAATTCTCAGTCAGGGACTGACCTAATCTATTTAAGCAGGGGTTTGTCTGCACTGCAGCTATCTGTGCACTGTGGAAACACCTGGGATAACTGTGTGTCATACCCACTGATGCTAATAATTCTGCCACTTATCAGAAAAATCTACTCCCCTGCTATTAAATGTCTCTAATGAGAAACTGAAGAAAAGTTACTGCACAGTGGGTGCAGCTTTTGGAAGTAACTTGGTGGTAGTGGTGAAAGCGTGACTATGGGATGTTGAGATTCTTTGAAAGCCTAACTTTCTTACTGTATTTGTCTTGTCACAATATCTGAGTCACTTCATAGAAGCTGTGAAGTTAGGGGAGTATTGCCATTTAACTGATGAGGAACTGAAAGGTAACAGCATATTTAAAGCTTTGTAGGCACCTAAGTCCTAGACAAATATATGGATTTAAACCACCTAAATACATCCAAGAATTTGACTCTGAGTAAGCTGCCCTAGGCTACAACAGAGAGAGTTGCTGGTGCAGCAAGAAATAAGAAATTGCTCTTTTTCCAGGCCAGTGCCCTAATAACAAGAGTGGGCTCTTCCTACAAATAGGGAGTGGTATGTTCCTATTTATACAGTGTGTTACCACATGTGAAGAGAGCTCATCTAGCAAATCTCTTTCGCCAAGTCGCAGTTCTTCATGTGCTACTCTGGTAAATGGGAAAGTCAACTGTTGTTGGTTCCCCATCCTTTGCTGCAAATGTCAACATGATTATTTAGTTGTGCTCTTCTGTGATCCCAGCAACTGCCCATTCAAAATGAAAGTAAGTCAGCCAAATGTGTAAGCGTATGTTACCGAAGATTGTAACTAGAAGTAACTTCCTATCTCAGCTAAGTTTAAACCCGAGGCTCATAGCTGTTGCAGAAATATGACCTTTAAGCAGCCAAGTTGGTTAAATTGCTGTACAGAGGGAAACTATGTAAACAGGTCACTGGCTTTTGTATAGTTGCAGCTGTTGATGTAACTACTTGGTGTGGAAAAAGAATAGCAAATCTTGTTTTGTTTGGCACAGTAAAATGTTTGTGTTTTGAAATGGCGTATGAAGTTAACAGGACTAAACTGCATGAGGTAAATAAAAAGTGTGCAGCTGCTGAAATACAGTTCAGAGATATGTACCGGTCTTTTCTACACCTCCAACGTTTCTGAACATGCAGTGATGGTTTAAAACAGCAAAGTGCTTTTATTATGGCCGAGCTGCCCTCTAGACTATTTGCTTTAATTTGTATTTACATATTGATGATGCTGTTAATTATGACATTAAACCCACTATGAATTAATGATTAACTGCTGTTAATTCCTTCCAGCTAAGTATTTGCCATGTTGAGTGTGTTAGGGAGACTATAAAATGGTTCCCAAACAGACCATGGGGCAGACATTAATGTGCTGGGAAGAACAAGGGAAACTGTTCAGGCTGGAAAGTGCTGGGCAGGGGTGGGAGGAAAATTTCTGCTGTTAAGCTGCAGTGGGGCAAGAGAAAGTCATGCAGACATTAAGCATAGCAGAGGGAAAGGCGGTAACACCAGAATGCCAAATGGAGTCCAACTGTGTTTAAATATGCTGAGAAATATTACAACATCTTCATCTGTTAAGCCTGCTCACTTGTGGTGTTGATGTTAAAAAGTAACTGGGAGGACACGGAGCACCTTGTGGTGGAAATCAAAGCTGTTGCTTTTTTAAATGATGTTTGGTACAAGCAGTCTCACCAGCTTTGCTCTAACCTAAATCCTAAAATCTGTAATGGACTGAATTGTGGATTTTTGTTGTATCAGCAAGGTCTAAAGTGCAGATGTTGAGCAAAAAGAGGATCCAACACAGACCAGAGGTAGGCTTAGTTAGGGAATACTCTGTACCAAGCTCTTACCCTACCAAACCTTCTCTGGTTTCTCAGCTCTGAGTGGCAAAAACATGAGCTGCATCAATCCCGGGCTTTGGATGTTTGCGACCAAATTGAATGTCAGTTGGGTTTCATGAATACGTAGTCTTTTGGTGAAATACAGGCTCATTTTTGGCTTCACTCCAAACCTAGTGGCACCTCAGATGGGGTGTTACTCATTTCAGAATTTGTGTGGGACAGAGACTGAGAGGGACGTGACCAAAGAGTACCATGAATCCTCAACCTGAGCAGCTGGGGGGTGCTTTTCCATAGCAGCAACGGGCAGAATGGTCCCTTTCTGTCTGTGTGCATACATGTGTTGGTGCGATGCTCACACATCCCTTTACCAACTCTCGGATTTTGCCTTCTGTGGTTTTTAGGGTCAGGAGTTGACTATCCGTCAGATTGCTCTTCTTGGCTTCAGAGACTTGGTCCTGCTAAAAGTAAAGTTGGAAGAAATTCTTCCTCTGGTCCAGACAAAGCTCCCAGCTTCCATTGTCCAGATGCTGTTAATTCTGCAGGTGGGGAGCCTCTGCTCTTCTTCGTCTGACTCCACTTGGGTATCTCAACCTCATTGAACGAATACGAACCCTGGAAAGGAGAGTGGGGAGGGTAGAGAGTGTGACGACGGGGAAGTGATGTGTGCTTGAGCAGTAAATGTAGAAATGAGAGCTGAATTCGAGTGTCGTGAGCTTTCCTGGGAACAGATAAGGATGTTGCCATGAAAGGGCGGGGTTCTGCTCTTCAGTGTTTGTATTTTTCTTGGTACCTCTCCTTCCTAGCTAGGAACAGTCTCAGGACTCTTTTTTCACATAAATTTTCATCTCCCAGCTTCTCTGAATGCCTCTTCGTGCCCTAGTTCTCCCGGTTTCTCAGCTTTGCAATGACAGGGTGAGTCTCCATCACAGCGGATTGTGGAATTTGAATGATCTGTGCCTGCTGGCTGCCCGATGCCAGCCCCTTGGCTGGCTGGGATGCTGAGCAGAGCCCATGAGATGAGGAATACCTTTTGGCAGCAGGCAAAATGCTATCCATCTTCCAAAGGCCTCTCCCAAGATACCCAGACCTTCTGTGAGGACTATCCTCTTTATCCAGATCTCAAGAGAATATTTTGCAAGCATGCCAAATACAGCCAAGTATACCAGCTGTTTTATCTTTTTATATCGCCCAGCCTGACAGTCTTGCAAAACACCATATTACAGGTGGCTGTTTGGGTTCCTCTCACTTTTATTTCTTCTCCAATGTATCTTATAATGAGTGGTGGGAAATGAAACTTTCTGAAGTACAATCAAAATTGCAAAGTGGCTAAGCTGGTATTTCTGTATGAGTTCTTGCTGTTCTGATGTTCCCAGTGACCCAGGCTGTAACAGCAGGAGATACTAAAGTGCTAGCTCAATTTCCCTGAAATATTTTAATAAAAAAATCTTGAGGGCAAAGAGCATCTCAAAGCAATGCATTTGAGAAAGAAGAGCTTTGCAGGAAGTTAAGTCTGTGAATGGTTTCTGAAATTACTGTTAAATTGGTTAGTGTTATCTACCATCTTCACAGCTGTAAGCTGAACTAGAGAGGGTGCTTTTCCTGCAGTCCTGCCTAGGAAAAGAGCAGTGCTTTGCCCAAGGTGTGTTAAGCCTTTTCTACAAAGAGATGTTTCCTGGTAGAACTGCCCTGGTATAATTATATCGCTGTAGTTACACTATGTAAATCCTCAGTATGAGCGTACCTTGTACCTTCCTATCCCTTGGTCAGAAAAAAGACAGCTAGCTGCTCAATGTCCATAGGGTTATGGCTATGACTTGAACAAGGAGGTTGACCTGAGTGGCACCCAAACCTCCATTTGTGCTTATCAGCTGTGCTCCTCAAAACGGTCTACCGATATGGTTGGGATATTCCGGTGGAGAGATATTTGACAGACCCCAGGCTTTACTCAAAAACCTTACTCAAAACTATGTAAGGGTAATGTTGACTTTTAATGTTTGAATTTCAGAGTGTCCATGAGCCTACTGGCCCCAGTGAGGGCTATGTACAGCTGGAAGAACTGGTCAAGCAGGTGGTATCGCCGTACTTGGGTTTGTGTGAGGATCACAGCTTCTCTGGTAGCACCTGCTTGCTTGGTAAGACATACGCATCGTACAGAAGCCCTTGTTGGGGTACACAGTTGGTTAATGTGAGGCAGTGCACATCTGTGCTAGAAAAGGAGACAGTGCATGACTCCGTGAGAGACAGAAAACAAAGGCTAAAACACCCTCAAGAAGCTCCTGATTAATATGTTTCTGAATGTAGATTTTTGTGACGGGCTTTTTATTTTCCATGCCCAAGTGAACTATCACTGTCCCACCACTGTGCACACACACATATGCAAAGTCTCCCCTCTCTCTGGAGATGGGCTGGATTTTAAAACTCCCTGGTTCATGCCTGACGTACTGCTCTCACCCTGGTGAGAGACTGCACCTGGTCCTTTGCTGCCTGCTGTCTGTCCCTGCTTGCTAGCCCACTTCGGCTGCCTGGATTCCCATGCTCACTGCTGCATTAGCCAGCCTTCGCAAACAGCAAAACTGTTGGATGCTCATTCTGAGGGATTACAGGTTTTTTTTGCATGGAGTCTTCCTTCCATCTGAGGATTCTGTTTTAAAAAAAAAATATATCTGTCTTTAAACTGTGGATAAATGGGTCTAGGTGAGAGAACTGGCATTTCACTTCAGGAAGGGGATGCCTATAGTGGAAAACTTGTCCACATATGATCCAGGAGCTCTGCTTACACGCATGGCCAGCCAGAAGAGATTGGCTAGCTAAGAAATGGGTGCAGTGATACTGATTTGATAGTCAAGAAGATTTAAATAGAACAAGTGAAGAAAGCTCCAGTCTCCCTCTGTTTTTATAAGCTTTAGCCTTTGCTTTGATGCAAATGGTAGCAAGTTGGAGACACACAGCCTGTCTTGTCCTACACCTTAGCAGCACAGGGGAAAAGATGGTCTGGCGGTAGAAAGACTTATCAGGACTCAAACGATCTGTGCCTGTAACAAACTCATGGCATCACTTTAGGCCCACTATGGCTCAGGGTTTTTGTTCTTGTGGTTTTTGGGCAATTAAATATCTTTTATGCAAGTGAACATGGTTATACAGTTCAGCATTGATTTGCAGACCTGACCCTGAGGCTAAATCTAGACCACATTTCCCTGTAAAAGTTGAGCTTTGACAAATTTGATTGTTTTGCTGTTTATGGACATCTACATGCTGCTGGAATAGTTTGAAAGGTAGCTGCCTGACTTGTACTGAAGTTTCTAGCCATCCTGGATTTCTGCTAGCTGAACAAGGCATTAGCGTCATTAAAAAAAAATTTCACATGAACTGGCCTTGTAAATTTTATATGCCTTAAAATCATTGTATTTACTTTGATTTTAGCTGTCATTTATTTGTGTGTATTTCTAAGATGGCCTTTTGCCCCTGCTCCACCCTGTGCTGAGCGGGAAGAAAGAACGAACTTGTGTTCGCATTACAGGACATTGACAGCAGAGCAGCACTTTTCTGCAGATAACCTTGGTATTTTCAAAGTGCTGCTGTGGTGGTGGTTTCTTTTCCTTAACTCCCACTTCTAATCAAACTTCTCTTCCTCTCTCCCTCTTTTTGTTACCTTTTTGCTTTCTCAGAACCAGTTTCTTCTCTCACTGGGCAGCCTGTAATGACGATGAAGCCCAGTTAGGTTCCCTGTAGTAGCTTTTTGGAAATGTACTGTTGGGCTTTGGGTACGCTTGCATTCTCAACAGACGCTGTGGAGGCCAAACTGCGCTCTGGACTGGAGCCTTCAAGATGAACAAGTGTTGAGAAATGTGACTGAAGGTGTCTGATCACAGCTGTGAATACACATAAGGCTTCAGCCTGCAAGGCTGCTGTATCTTAAACTTGATTTAAAGCGACAGAGGAGTGCAGCAGGGATAGGTGTGAAAGGGGACAGGACAGCTCACAGAGAGGATTCATAGAGGGCAGCGTCCTCACCTGCTCTTCTCTTACCACCCTTCTTGCTTTGCTCATGTAAATTTGCCATAACCTGCATTGTAAGGATGGAGTATGCTGAAAGGATCCAGTCGTCTAAGATACAATGTTTAAATTGGAAATAGGGAAGAAGATAAAACATTCACCCTGTTCCCCCTATGTATTAAACCTAACATCACTGCTGATTTGAGTTTGCCTGCAAAAAATCCCTTGAGAACTCCTCCCAGTTTATGTTCCTGGCCATAATGCACCAAAATAGAAATAAAATTTCTAGTTAAACTATGTATGACAACCCCTTTAAGAGCCTGTCTTTTGTGGCCAAGAAAGTAAAGGGGGAAAAGTAAAGCAGTAAATGAATGTTCAGAGTTTAGCCTCATTTTAACCTGATTCTCATCATAAAGGATTTCAATTTTGTTGCACAAAAATAATCTGTGGATATTTTTTCCTCAAAAGAGTCAGGTCATCTCTCCCTTGAAGAGAATAAACATTGAGAAATTCCTCACTGTCCATCTCTCTCTTTCACTGCCTGGTCAGTCATATGTAACCCATTTCTACAGCTAACCTGCTCTTAAAAACTTCCACTGAGGGAAGCTCCTCAACTCCTCTGTGCAGTTTCTTGCAGCCCTCACACTTGGCATTAGAAAGCATTGCTTCATGTCTTAAGAATGTCTTCGGTACTGTTGTGGGGAGAAAATAAGAGCAGAGGCCTATCAGGTCTTAACTGAATTAGCAAATTCAGAAGTCAAAAGCCAAGCCTGTTTCCTTAGTCAAGGTGAAGACTGAGTAGCCTTAGATGGCGACCAAACTGCCTTTCCCCTTCTTGTTACACAACACCTGGCCTCCTGCAACTGCCCAGGCGAGCCTTCCGAGTCCTAGCTCTTACAGCTACAACTTCAGGAAAAACGTTTGCTGTTGCGGGGGAGAATGAAGAATTCTTCTAACTTCTGCCATTAAGCGCCACCAGCTCTGTCACATGTGCTTCCAACACACGTTTCACTGGAGTCCTACACATTTTGCTGTGACTTTATATGCAGTATACTGGACCATTCCTGTGCTGCTGTGAAGCTGGATAATTCCTGTGGCTACATCAGATAAAATTTGAGCACTTTGTCCTTTAACCTCTTTAGTTTATTTCATACCACCACCACCTTCCTCCTCCCTCCTCTGTCCCAACTTCTATGAAATTTTATAGTCGGGGATTGACACAGATGAAGGTCTAGGTTATCAAAGACACTCAGATACTTAAGCTGTTGGGTTTCCAAGTCCACCAGTAAAGTGCTAGCGTTGTCCTTGTTGGTGGGTAAGACTGCCGTAAGAGGAGTTGGAGGGGAGTTTCGGTAATTTTCAAAACTGGCCTTTTCTGTCAATTGGTTAACTCTTCTGCTGTCTACTACAGTGTTTCACATTCAGCTGTATCTGAAGCACGGTGTCTGTTTGAGCAGCACCCTTATCTTCTCAAAAGATCACGGTGGCAAGAAGAGTATGGTGAAATGCTGCTATTTCTGGGACAGAAAGTAGCAGCTTGACTGTAACAGAACAGAAGGAGGAGAAGAGTTAAAGTTTAGTTTCTCCAAACTAAAGTATGCACTGGGGATAAACTGCTATCAATTGTTTGCCTACTTAAAAAACATGCCATGTGAATGCTGACTAAATGTTGGTCTACTTTTAGCATAAATATGCTTACGCTGATAACCAGCTGCGTGGTTTAGGTGAACAGCAGCCATGCTGTGGCAGCACAAGCCGCAGCACACGCTGCCTGCATGTCCATCCAGATTCCTGGGTGGGTTTGCAACCTCCGCTCAATTCTGGGCTCAGCTCATTGCAGGGTGTCTGGGTTACGGTAGTTACTTCAGTATAGTCAAACTCAGGACCTTTGCTTTATTTTTGCACGCAGGAGGCTGTGCAATGCTCCTGTTTCTATGCTGATACAGGTCTGAGGGGAAGAGTGTGGTCTTCTGAATTACTGTCTGTGTTTCCTTCGATACCAGCAGGTTTTTACAATCTCCCCATCCAGGTTCTGATTACATTCAAAAACTGAATGATGTCAGACTCTGAAACACTGGCACGGGCGTCAGCTCTGTGCAGCCTGCTAGTCAGTGAGTGTGTGTACGTACACACCTATGCAAACATGTACACAAGTACATACATCATGTATAAGCCTGTGAAATGATGAATGCAGACTGGCTGGATTGCAAACTACCACAGTAGTTGATGTAACGAATGATACTAGTTGACCATTTTACCACAGCAGCCAAGGACATGACAGAAAGGGTCTCAGGATCTCTTTGCCAGTTCATGTGAAGGCAGGGTTGCCAGGCTGGGCAGGAATAATTTTATATTATTTCTTCCTATATTATGCTTGCTCTTAGTGGATTTTAATCTCTCAGGTCATCAGGCTTGGCTCTTTCAGCAGCACTAAAAGTTTATGGACAAAACTGGCACTTTTTTTTCATGGAAATATTTTTACTTATCTATTAAGTGAACATCAGGCCACAGCCATGATTTTTCTTTTTCCTGTGTATCCTGTCTTTTTGGGAAGGGCTGCAAACTGTCCCTGTTTAAATGAAGCATGTTTTAATTTTCAATATGTGTTGTATAGGAACAGAGAAGGACAAAGATTCAGCTCTTGCCTACAAAATCTGCAGCTGTGGAGTCTGGAAAATTGGCAGCGTTTTGCACAGCTCAGTTTAATCTCCTCAGACCTCTCTAGTTAACGAAGACATCTCTGCATAGCTGAAGCCATGGCAGGATAGAAATAATGTAAATATTAAATCATGGGATGGGGGTAGTGCAATGAACTATTACCTCAAGAGGCTACTGACCTCTTTCTCCTCTCAGCCCAAGAACTAAACAGCTCTTAAAGGTGTCTGACTTCCTAATGTTGACAGGAGATGGGCACCTAAATGCATTTAAAGATCTCAGCCTGGGTCGGTCACGTTGCAAGTATATAACTGTCCCCACCACTGGCTTCTCTCTTTTGGTATCAATACTTCACTTTGTTCACAGAAGTCAGAAATGAAGAAGCCCTGATAGGTACTGGTGAAGGTGGAGAAGCAGCTACTGCTAATGACACCAGTGTTATTTCGGTCTTGTCTATGCCAGGGTAACTTTCCAAGACCCAGGCATGGGCAGCAGCAGAATGCTAATGCAGTGCACAGGGTTTGGTGGTGCCAGTGCTGTGCTAGGATGCTCGCCTGCTGCTGCCCTGCCTGCTGCTGCCAATGGAGCTGCAAGGAGGGGTGCAGAGTGGAAGGATGCTTGTGTGGCTCCCCCCTTAAATTACTTTTTCCCAATGCCCTCCAACATTACAGCTTGCTGTGGCTTGAGCTGCAGATGACACCTAAAGAGTATATTTAACATAACTAACCTCAAAAATTATTTGCACATAGTCTTAAGCACAAAATGAACTGTTTTTAATGAATGTATTACTGCAGCACCGGGGTGAAGTGTTGTCATAGCTTGGCTGCTGCCAGTGGTGGAGTTTTGGCTGCTCATCCGTTCCTTCCTGCAACAATATAGAGTTTGTTTTCTGCTTTTCTTCCTGATGCAAGCTTCCAAAACTCTTTTATAACCTTCAGTGACGAGTGCTTTGCTTTGCTTTGCTTTGCATTTTGTTACTCTCTCTCTTATGCTCTGAAGTCTTGGTGGAAGTATTTTATATGGTTTAAAGGCTTCCGACTTTATGAAATGAGACCCTGCACTTCAAGGAAGTTGGTGAGAAACAGAGAGACAGAGGGAATAACTTTATCAGCTGCTTCGGGGATAGACCACATGAGGTGTTTAACACCACATGGCAATGCTGCGCGGCGGTGGAAGACAGCAGGTGAAAAGTAATACTGTCTGATTCAGCCTGCTAGGGGAGTGAATTACAGTGAGCCAAGGCACAAATTCAGACCCCTGCTTTTCTTAAAGCTTTTAGTGTCAGAATTGAAATGGTGCTTCATGATACTGGGCTGGGGACTGTGCCTTGGGTTTGAGTTTTAAACCAGGCATTTTTCCCCCTTAATGTTTTTGCTGAGCAGATCGTAGACCCTGCACCCATCAATTCCGTCACTGCCTTCACCCGTGCTCTGCAAGTACTGCCTTCCTCTTCTGCGGCTTTCCCCCTGGGCTGTTGTGGGCCGTTGCTGTGCACTGTTAGGTGTTTTCAGTGTCTAACCCCAAAACCAGACATGTTTTAAAGTGGATGAAATGTTCTTTTTCTTGCATAATCTTTAAAAAATACGGTGGGATAATGCTAGCAGAACTGCCTTTCCCTAGGCAGCTGGAGAGGCAGTGCAATGTAAGCATCAGGAATTTCATGTTGACACCAGCTAACAGCATCTCCTGAGAGAAATTTTCCAGAGAAAGGGATGGCAACTCGGGTCCTCTCTGAATGCTTCTTTGGGGACTTGTGCCACTTTAGCATCACTGATTTTAGTGAACCTGCACATGAGAGCTCCTACTCAGTCCTCAACCCCTGGGTAAGAGACGAGACCATCAGAATGGTGAAGAAAGTCCCTTTGCTGCACTTGTTACTTGTTGGCTCACTTCTCTCGCAGGCAGCAGCACCGTTGCCTTACAGCAGGATGGGAGGTGTCTCCTTACCAGGGGAGAGGCAGACCTCTTTTCCAAACCCCCGGCAGTATGAACTAATGAGCATCTGAGTGTTCCCTGGTGGTAATGAGGTGGGACACTCTGTGGCTGCACACCGAGTCCTCTCTGTTCCCTGAGGCCAGCCTAGCAGTTTGGGCAACGCTTTGTCTGTGCCCTATTGACCCTTCCTGCTTGCTTTTTTCTCTTCCAGAGACGGTACTCCAGATCCCGTCCTAAGACTGGTGTACTGAATTATTCATCTCCCGTGGTGACGAGCCGGCAGCCCAGCGAGATGGCCCTGACCCCACTGACAGAGCAGGAGGGTGAGGCTTACCTGGAAAAATGTGGTAGCATCCGTCGCCACACTGTTGCCAATGCTCACTCAGATATTCAGCTCCTGGCAATGGCCTCCATGATGCACACGGGAATGGTGATTGAGGAGTCAGACAGTACCGACAAATGCCTTCTCCTGCAGCCCAGTTTTAGCCACAGGCAGTGCTCCAGTGAGCCCAATATTGCTGATGGGCCAGAGGGAGTCATGGCAGAAGGTAGGCAGGACCCTGCAGAGCTGAACTGCACATCAGTCAGCTAGAAGAAGTCTTGCTGAGGAGAGGAGAACTGTATGCACTAAGCTGGACAAAGTGTCATGTCGACCCTGCTGGGAAAAAAGAGAAAAATTTGAGTTTCACTCATGTAATTGAAATGGCCTTGAGGGATCTTATGCATCTTTGGGAATGCTCTCTCGATTTTTTTTTCTTGCCTGCCTGGGATCATTGTTGATGGAGGTACCAGGCTGCTCCCAAATGAGCACTGAGGGCTGCAAAGGTTTCGTTGTTGAACAGCGCAGTCTACCTTCTGTAAGCTTTCTTCCTCTACTAGTCCAAACCCTTTGACCTCAGGTTTTCTTCTGTTTCTTTGGTATGATACAAATTAGCCTCTTTCTGCTTTTCTCCATCTTTCCTAGCTTTGCGCTCCTTGTATGCTCTTTGTTCCTGCAGCAGAGAGCTCTCTGCTAAATGTTCTCTTTGCTTCTGGTGCTAGGGTGGTGATGGCTGAGGACTGCATTTTTCTTTTAGAGTTGAACTCAGGGATGAAACCATTTGCATCCTGCAGAAAAATCTGCTCAGGTGGCTTGTGAGAGAAGGAGATCCTTCATTTTGCCTCCCATGGGCATGGATGAAAAGTCCAAATCCAAACAAATCAGACTTTTTTTTTCTCCAGACCTGAAGAGAACTGAGTATACATGGAGTCCCAGCTGAGTACTTCATATGTACTTTATTTGATTCCAGTCATGTCTTTGGGAGTGGTAGAGTAAATTGGGTGCAGAGGAGGGCTGGGTATGTAAATTGTGGGCAAAATATAGTCCTGAGCATCCTGGCATTTGGCATCAATTTGCTCTCAAAATTTCAGTGGTGGTAGGGCTACAATGAAAGGAGAAATCTAAATGGATTCCTTTCGGAAGGAGTCTGCACTTGTGTGGGAGACTTAAAGGTGCTTCTCAGCACTGGGTCATCATGATTCCAGACCGGGAGATGACGAACAGGATTTCATCCTTGGGCTGGTCTGGTACTTTTAGCACTTGCAGATTTTGTGAGACCAAAGATAACCAGCAGGGTATAGAAAGGAGTCCTGTCTCAGTAGTGTATTCATGAAGTGCTCCTGACCTCCAGTGGTATCTGACTCAGGGCAGTGTTGCTTTTAAGATGAAGCAAGGGCTCTTTGCAGTCTTTGTTTTTGTTTTTATCTTGAAGATCAGGAGTGGGTCCAGTTTGCAAGTGTCTGTGTCAGGCACTGCAGTCTGCAGTGTCTGCTTTGTAGCATCACTTGGTACTCAAATGCTGCTTCTATGGGAACAGAACCAATCTGTTTGAGCAGTCCCCTAGGATACTCTGCTGATGTCTTGCTAAGCAGATTTGCAAGTGTAATTACAGGCTTAGAGGTGAACTGAAATGCTGCCTTAAATGTCAAATCCCATTAAAAATATGGATATAACACCACTGCCACTCGAATCTAGTCCCTGTGGTATTGACTGTAAATAAATCTGTCTTGACAAGGAAACAGAAGGTTAGGATGAGCCTTCAGGATGTTTTTTTGCATGCTATGACATTAACTGCAGAATTTGCCCTGCTTCTGTTGGGCATCAAGCATCTTCGCTCCACTGGCTGCACCAAAAGTACAGCTCCGTCCTCTCAGGATTTGGCCTTAGTAGCATGTGCAGCAAAAAGAAAGCAGGTTATTATTTGGTAACAAAGTATCAGAAATACCAGCGATGAGCACAAGTCACGCTGCCTTTGTAAATGGGGGTGTTGCTTTGTCTCCTGTGGTTTGCAAATGTTGAAAGAGATACTTGAAAGGGCCTGCTTTTTCTTGCAGTCACCTAAGGCACCCTAGCTATTGGCCCTTGTGGAAATGCCAAGTGTTTTGATCACCAGCTGTGCTTACACGTTGAAGAACAGAGATTCAGTTGTGCTGGGTGCCTCTTCCTCGGAACATGCATCAATCTTCCCTTCAGATGGATTCTAGGATAAATTGCCCTTCTATTCATAAAATGGACTGACCAGGCCAACTTATTTGTTGTCATCTGCCCCAGGGTGGTCATGGATTGTGGTGGAGCTTCAGAATCTCTGTGGTGACAGCCAAACCTAGTAGACCATGCTGGTCTTAACCTTGGCACGGTCCCTCCAGCATGGGGCAGGTGATGGCATCCTGCTCAAAAGGAATTTCTTTGGCCCCTTGCAGTGATTTAAAGCCTTCTTTTAGTCACAGCGGGACGTGGGGAAGCGATCACCCTGCAGCATTTCAGTTCACTCTTATGAATGCTTTTCTTCTATTTCTCCTCTAACCCATCTGCCTTCTGTAAATACGCAAACCATTTGGATTAGTGAGCAGTGCCCTCTTTAATGGTGAAAATTAGAATGATTTATTTATTTCCTGACATATTCTTGGATCATCTCTAGGGCTAATAAGAATCCAGTTCTGGTTTTAACTTGAATTTCTTTTGTTTTACATGTATGTATAATTTGAATTATTTTGATTTTGCATCTGTTACTTTGCAAAAATTTGCACCAAGCCACTCCGAGTCATGCACCTCCCCAGTTGTTTTGGGTTTTAGGGAGAATTAAAGCTGGTGGCTTTACTTTGTAAACTGAAGTAAACAAAACTTGTTCTGTAAACCACACTGAGGGTCTGGTCATGAGCACTTTTACAGCCATGTGAGATGCACAAGCCCCTGCAAGCCCATACCTGTTACAGGCAGATTGGCTGAACCTGGAAGTGGTTGGAAAGCTGCGCCCTGTGGCTGCCATGACAGCAGTGCGAGGCTGGCACCGAAGGGCCATGGGGGCAGACCTGGGGGGCAGCGCTGAGTGGCCGCTCTCCGCTGAGGATGCTCTCAGCCTGCAGAGGCTCAGTCCCCTGGAAGTGAAGAGCAAAGACTGTCCCCGAGCCAGAGCTGCGGCATGCGAAACACTTGCATTTTGGATACAGGGTTCTGGTTTGGGGTTATACTTCTTTGCTGCTCACCATGTCACACAGCCATGACAGTGGCACAGGGCAGGTCTTTTCTACCCTCATGGTCATCCATTTGAGAAAACCTCCTGGAAGAGCTGTCAGAATGGAAAGAAGGGATTTCTCTCACCATCTCCCAAAGTCTGTCTGTTACCTTCTAACTGGGTGATTACCTAAACTGAGTCACTTCCCATCACACTGAATTTGTCTTGTCTTTTTACTCTGTCTCCTCTTCTTAAGGTAAGTAACTGATTTATTCTCCATGTCTGTACAATCCTGTCATAAACTTTCTGAGGAGGCCTCAGCAGAAAGCTATTCTTAGTACAACCGGCCTTTTTCCTGACATCCCTCATAAGCAAGCAACACGTTTTTATTGCCAGCAAGCAGAGCTTCTTCAGTTCCCAGCTGGGTGGGCAGCAACCTGGTTGATTTTTTGTTTCTTCTATCTGAAGGAATGCAGTACATCTTGGTTCTGGCACTGGTGGCAGCAGGGGGAGCACTGCAGGGTTTGGGTTTACGCTGAGGTAGGGTATTGCTCTTTCTTTTTAGGTCTGAGTGGCAATGGGTTCCCCTGGAAGGAATGCTCTTTTGATGCTTACAACCCTGAGTCTACAGACTGAAAATGCTTGGCTCTTACAGGCAGCCGGTGTGTCCCAGAGAGCAGAAACTGAGTGTCTAGTGAGGGACAAATTGTGGTGTTTGTGGTGTACTTACTTATATGAACTTCTTAATTCTGCCGTAGACCCAGAGTAGCCAGTTTCCCTAACTGGATTCCCTGTTCCTTCCCAACCTGTCTCCTTCCCTGTGCCAGCAGCAGGGCTTCTGGGCCAGGCACACGCCTCATATTGTGTGTGTGTGTGGGAGGGTTCCAGTGAGAGAAAGGGGAGCTGAGCAGTGTAGAAACTCAGCCAAAGTTGATGACACCAACTTGCACCAAGTTGGGGTGCAATTGCAAGTTCTGTGCTAAGAGCTAAAGATGCTGCCTGTGCAGAGGGCTGCAGGCACCCTGCTGTGACACTCGCACTCTCTATGGGTCTTTCTCATACTTAGGAAAGGCTGAAGAAGGGCGATTTTTAAGTATTGGTGCTATACAAGTGAAAGTGAGCTCCTCCTCATTCACAACTAAAATTTAGAGGCAGATAAAGATCTATTCAGCTGTGGAAATTGGAGCCAGCAGAAGCGAGTGGTTGTGCTTTATCCAGTGATTTTAGTGCAGCAGGCAGCTATCCATGCCATGAGGCCGGGGCCCCTCCTCACCGACCCAGAGTCAGGCCCTTTCCATAGCCCTGCAAATCTCCGATGCAGTTTGGCATGTCTTCAACAGGCTGTGGAGGAGGCTGGGAGAGCACATCCTCCCGTTAGCCTGCCCTTTGTGGTAAACCACCCACTTCTGAAAGAAATGTGCATGTTATATTGAGCCACGAATCGTGCGTCTAAACTCCCAAAAGAGGTGGGGGGGCGAGGCTCTCTACGCTCCCCAGCTGCCCTGTTCCCCATGCAGGACGGGTCTCTGCAGAGCCAGCACCACTTCCTGCACGGAGCAGCCTGGCGGCGGAGTTCAGGAAAGCGGGTGAGAATGCAAGACTTACCCTGGCACGGATACCCCACGGTGTCTAGGGAGTTTCCCAGGGGGACGTGACCTGGAAATTCATCCTGCAGTCAGCCTGTTTCTCGCTCACAAATACTCCAGGTCTATAGGAAAGTCACTGCAGATTTTTCTCTTATTTCGAAGTAGGAAGAGCACGGCTAGTATTTGGTATCTCCCTGAGTAAAGAGGAGATAATTAGTCATCCTATTCATTTTTCAAATGTGGAGGGCGGATCTGGCAGCACGACAACAGCTTAAATGCAGTTTTGTTACTTATCCACCCATTTAGAGAGTGCTTACTGTCCCCCTTGCTATCCCAACAGCTCCCAGTGAGGGCACCAAGCATTTAACTAAATAAACAAAAGCTTCAAAATAGAAATGCCAGCTTTTAAGGCAGGTTAGCAGCAAAGGAACAGCATATCTCATTAATGTGGTGCTCAAAATTGCATGCGGTAAAATAGCTGCCACTTTCTACCTGAGAATTGGCTGCCCTTCATTCATTACTTGCACCTGAAGATACCTTGAGTACCCATGTTAGTTATATCCAACCGTTATTCCCACCTGTGAGAGCAAGTGCTGTATAATTGTTGTGCCAGTTAACGTCTCCCCTATGTGTAAGTTCATCCCTTCCAGGGGACGAATCCTGCCCCAAGCACTTCTCCAGGTCTAGTGAAAGCTGTCCTAAGTACACAAGGAGTGGCAGCTCGGGGTGTATTAGTAGTTTGGGCCACATTTCTCCAGTCCAAATGATAAATAGCAATTCCAGTGAGGAAATAAGTGAATTGGAAATTGTCATTATTAATCAGTAGTTGCTAGTTGTGTATGGTCAACACACTCTCTGGGCCACAAATAATGGGTGTACGTGTAGGAGACACATCTGTATGGGAGAACGTATGTGAGAGGGTGATGAAGAAGAAATATATGCAGGTAAAGGAAATAGCTGACTAGATTAATCTTTTCCCAGATAATTGGTATAACAGAAGGTGGGGTAGAGGCTTAATTATAGTGTGGTCATCAGACTTTTCCATAAGCAAAAGGAAAGCAAACTCCTTAAAAAAAACACCAAAACACAATGGCTTGAAGGGTCCCACCTACCCTAAACTCCCGCCATAGTACAGAGCCGCTTTGCAGTAGCTATAAATT